AGGTGATTGTTTGTGCTGTGGGGCAGACGCCTGGAGACAGACAAAATAGCTTTTAAGAGAGCGTTGAAATGGCTTGAAAGGGGCTTCATTTCCTATGGGGCATACACATATCTCTTGTCCCATTGTCACCTCTCTGCTAGTTGGATTTAGCGCCTACTCTTCATGAGAGGATCCTATTGTAAGACTTGAAATTTGGGAGTCTGTTACCACTGCCTCTGGCATTAGAATTGACTGAGAATTCTCAAGCCTTTAGAGAGAGAGAGAGAGATCTCATTATATGGTCTTCCAAAAGTGATTGTTGCAGTGTCAGGAATGTAAAGGCTCCTGAAGGAATGGAGGGTGCTTTAATGGGCCGCTTTAATCCTTCTCAGCCCCAGAAACACATCCTTGCTAATCTTTGAAGTGACCCAACATGGCAGTTGTTAGTGATGTAGGCAATTTCCCCCTTTGATCAAGACAATTGGCATAGTTCAAGTTGGGCAGGCTGATTCTTAGACTGGCAAAAGAGAAGCAGATGTTGACATCTGGAATTCCTCGAGCATGGAAGAGTCTGGCCAAAATGAAGATTCAAGTCTGGTGAAACTGTCCAAAAATAACATTTGCATGATACCTTCATATTAGGGCCAACCAACCAATGTCACAAACCACTGAGTAAAACCTTCAAGTCCCACTGAATTCTTCATCAGGGTGGATGTTCAGCACAAAAAGCAAAAGTTAAAAAAGGAGGAGAGGGGGAAAGAGAGGAAAAGATGCTTCCATTCATGGTGGAGTTCTGTAGAGTCTTAAAGCGGAATACAGGAAATGTTGCAGATGTGATTGGATTCAATAATATTGGGTGCAAAACTGTTTTTGAAGATGCACCCCAGGCTACCAGGACAGAAGGATGCCCCAAATCTTGCAGCATACTTGCTCAGCAGCCCAATGTACCATTTTCACTCCCATGATCAGAGGTGAGCTGATTCAGGAACTGTTTGGGCCCACACTGAACAACTTGAGCAGAAGCTGAACAGGTGTGCAGCTGCTTTGTTGTTGCTAATTTGGGGTGGGAAACTGGCTCCCAGCTAATTGGGGGGAATCCGCTTGGATTTGACTTCTGATCTCCCTTACCAAACTGCTGTTTCACAGCCTTGCAGAGAGGCAATGAAGGGGTTTTTTTGGGGGGGAAGATCAGAAGCAGAGTATCACATGTTCCCAGAGATCAGCTCAGAGGTGACTTCTGCTCCCTCCCGGACTCAATGTTGCCCTTCAAGGCTGGAATGCAGCCCAAATATATCACAAACAGGACTCAAATATGTGATACACCCAGGGGTCTTGTTGTAGAAAAAGAGCTGCCGGAGCTCATTAGCATAACTCATTAGCATAACTTATTTGCATATGCCACGCCCCCTGACATCACCGGAAGTGACAGAAGGCCACACCCCCTGACATCACCGGAAGTGTGTCAGAAGGCCCGGCTACTTACCCTCCTGCTTCATCCTCATTCCCAAACGGAATGAGGATCAAAGCAGAGGGCGGGGTAAAGAAGGGGGCGGGGCTTCACCACGTGACCGCCCCGCCCCCTAGAGGTTCTCTTCCGGAGCTCCGTACCTGAGAGCTCCCCCCCGACTAGAGCCCTGGATACACCCAATATGACCAGGCTTTCAGTCAAATGTTCATCAGAAAGTGCTTCCAGTTTCCTTCTGCCTGGTTTTTGCCAGTGGAAATGGTGGCATGTGGGCTTGCCCCTTTTCTCTGGCTCCACATGTTCTTCCTATGTGGCATGTGGAGCCGGTTAAAAGTTCCCCTGCCGCCATTTCTACTGATGAAAACTGGGCAGGAGGGAAACCAGAAGTTCCTTCTTCCCCTCTCAGCGTTCCCTCCCAGGATCAAGCAAACTAATGCTGTTCAAGGTGAGTTCCCCCTATGTACATCTGACTGTGAATCAGGTTGTGGATTCAGTTTGGGGCACCACAGTTTAGGAAGGATGTCAACAACCTGGAACGAGTCCAGTGTAATGCAATGAAGTTGATGAGGGGCTTGGAGACCATGTCCCATGAGAAGATGTTGACAGAACTGGGAATCTCTATGTTGGAAAAGAGATGCTTGTGAGATGATATGATTGCCACCTTCTGATACCTAAAAGGATGCTATGAGAAGCATGAAGCAGATATGTTTTCAGTCATGGACTAATGGATATAAACTACAGCAAAGGAGGTGCTCCTAAATTTGAGAATAAACTTCCTGATGATGAGGTGTGTTTGACACAAGAACACTCCATCATGAGGTGGTGGATTCTTCATCGGAGGTTTTTAAGGATCTAGGATATCTACTTGTCAGGGACACTATAGTTGTAGTTCCTTCATTGGCAGGGGGTTGAACTAGATTACCCTGTTGGCCCCTTACAACTCTAACAAATAAATAAAACTGACCTGGTGGGTGATCAAGCTGGGACAGAGAGCCCAGAAAAGGCCTCTCTCCCTTGGAAAATATAAAAGCCAGAAAATGTTTCTGGAATGGATTAAGTCTGATAGCTAAAAATAGCATAATTTAGAGGTTGTGTTTTGTGTTTTGGTTGGACTGTTTGTTCTACATGAAACCAATCCAAAATCCTGTTCCTCTAACAATATTCTGGTGGGAGGTAGGGAGGACCATGGCTTGTACAAGCCACTTGGATACCTCACAGCGGAAGCCGCCTTAGACGGGGTCAGACCCCAAGTCTATCAAGGTCGATGTTATCTACTTCACTGGTCCTCACTCCGTGGCTCACAGAGAGCCACATTCACAGCTGCCGTCAACCGAAAGAGCCACATGACTCCTGGATATAACCTGTGCATCACTCTGCTCTCTCCTCACCATTAGGCACAGCAACTGAGACTGGAGAGTGCCGAGGTGCCTAGAGGAGAGCAAGCTGGCTGTGTAGAAAGGGGAGCAGTGTTCCCTCTAAGCTGAGCTAGTGTGAGCTAGCTCACAGTTTTTTAGCCTCCGGCTCACACATTTTTGTCTTAGCTCAGGAAGGATGGCTCTAGAGCAAACTAATTTATGCAGCAGCCAAATCGCTCGCTCACAACTTTAAAGCCAGTAGCTCACAAAGTAGAGTTTTTGCTCACAAGTCTCCACACCTTAGAGGGAACATTGAAGGGGAGTCAAATCACCACCACCCCACTTTGGATCAGGTTGCTCTTTTCCCAGCTGGCTGCCACGGTGGTCACCGCATGTGAGAGGAGAGGGGGCTCAATGCTCCCCTTCATGAAGCTTCGCAGATCAAAACCACCGCCCTGAACTGCTGTTAGCCCTGGAAAGAAAGAAGAAGAAGAAGAAGAAGAAGAAGAAGAAGGAGGAGGAGGAGGAGGAGGAGGAGGAGATTGGATTTATACCCCGCCCTTCACTTGAAGTCTCAGAGCGGCTTACAAACTCCTTTCCCTTCCCCTCCCCACAACAGACACCCTGTGAGGCCGCGCACTTAACCACTACACCAAACTGGCTCTCAAAAGAAACAAAGAGAAGCATCCCTGCCCTTCTTTCCTTTCTAGTGCTAGAGGTACTCAACAGAAAGCAGATACTCAACAGATACTCAGCCCCTTCTGCTTCCACACTGAAGCAATTTCAGGAGGAAAAAGAGGAGCAAGGGAACGCTTTGATTGCTCCCTCCAACCCACCCACATTGCATTTATATTTCCCCTTTGGTTCCCCCCATTTTCATTGGTAGGACCTAGATTTGGTCCTGCCGCCATGTTGTCTAATTACACCCTTATTAGCTTTATTTCCAAAGGTGTTACAGTGTGAATTTCTAGGTTAACAGGATATGCCTTCTGGTTTTTTCCAAACATTGGCAGGTTTGCCACATTTCACAAACAAGTGTCTGCATATCCAGTAGTCACCCATCCCCTCCTGTACCTTGGTCCAGTCTTGTAGGCCTCATGTTTATCCGGCTACAAGGTGTTAAACTGACCAGCCCTGAAACCTGAACCATCCTAAAAGTTGCATCGGAATGGGCTTTCACCTTGCACCACAGAGAGTTTTGACAAGAGGGCAGATGAACGGGGAGGGGGGGGGTTGGCTGGCCAAGGGACCCTCCTCTGTGGGACATGGGATGATTAAGCAGGCAGGCTAGACAGTCCAGTGAGAGGCCCCGAGAAGAGAGCGGGATGCAGTGAATCAGAAGGAAGGAAAGTTAAACTGTTTTGCCAATGGAGACAGGAGGCTTATGCATCGGCAGGCCTCCGTGGGTCAGTTTGGCCTCCCCTAAATTCTTAGAATTCCATCTGGTGTCTCTCTTGAGTGATGCCTCTCTAATTCAGAAATAAGCTACAAAAGATGTGGGCTGAGGGAGAAAGGGAAGGAGACAGTTCCACATGGGGTTGCCACGCCAGTCCACCCTGGGCACCAGCGGGGAATGGAGGGGTAGGGTTGCCAGCTTCATGCTGGCAAATTCCAGGAGGTTTGGGGGTGGAGCCTGGGGAGAACAGGGACCTCAGTGCAGTGCAATAGAGCCCACCTTCCAAAACAGCCATTGTCTCCAGGGAAACTGATCTCTGTAGTCTGGAGATGTACTCTATATCCCAGGGGATTCCAGGACACACCTGAAGGCTGGCATCCCTCGTTCCATGACTCATTTAGAGATGGGTTCCCATCTTCTAGGTGGGCCCTGGATTTATCCCAGAATTACAACTGAGCCCCAAGCGACAGAGGTGAGTACTGCTGGAGAAAATGGCAGCTTTAGAGGGTACGCTATGGCAAAAGCATCCCCGTGGACTTCACTCCATTCCCCAGGCTCTACCACCAGGACTTTCCCAACCCAAAACTGGCAACTCTGCAATACCTGCGGAATCTTCTGTGCCAGATTTTGTTGTACTATAGATTTCTGGGTTTTTGCCTTTCCTTCTTTTGCACACTGCTTCCCATTCACTGTTGTTTCTCATTCACCCTTCCTTCCCCGTCAACTTCTTTTTTCCTAGCCTATTGGGTCTTCTTCAACGGTCTCATCTTTCTCTTGCCCCTCCCCCCCACCTCATTTCTAGCAGCCGTTGACTGTGTGGTCGGCCTTTGGGGACCCTGGAGTGAGTGCAGTGCCTTGTGTGGGACCGGGAGCAAAGACCGGATGCGACAGGTTATCGTGCCACCTCGGAATGGAGGAACCCCATGTCCGGATCTAAAACAGAGAAGAGGGTGCCTTGGGGACAGCCCGTTATGTGAAACGGCAAAAGGTAAAGCTGAGATCCAGATCAGCCCAACTCAAACAAAGATGGAATGACAAGCCATAGTGAGGCACACTGGCTTATAAAACTCTCTGCCACTAGATGTGATAGTGATCACTGGCATAGATTACCCCCCCAAAAGGGAGAGAAGACAAATTTGCAGAGGAAAAGACCATCAGTGAGCAGTAGCCAGGGTAGCCAAGCATGGGAAATGTAAGGATGGTCCCACCTCTCACCTTTTCCCTGTGAAGGCTCTGGATTACCACGAATAAACATAATGAAAAAAAATTAAGTGTCAGAGTTAAAGCAAACCAGGGCTATTTTTGGGCAGGAACGCACAGGAACGGAGTTCCGGCTGGCTCCTGAGTTGGCCACGCCCAGCAGGAACTCATTAGCATAATAGGCCACACCTAACAGCAGACACTCATTAGGATTGGCTACATTAGGGGTGTGTGGCCTAACATGCAAAGAAGTTCACTACAAAAAAAGCCCAGAGTTTTGACAACAAAGTAAACAGAATAAGAAGCAGAAGGTGGGTGTGGTTGGATGACCACAATTCTCGTAACATGTGGGGTGTGGCCTAATATGCTAATTGGTTTCTGCTGTTGGGTGTGGCCTATTATGCTAATGAGTTCCTGCTGGGCTTTTTCTACAAAAAAAGCCCTGAACAAATCCATTTATTTTTATCAACCTATATACTCTTTTGAGCCATATATTGTGGGTTGGATCCTAACGGCCCCTTTCCCTGGTGTGGGGAGACTTCCTCTATTCCCAGGAGTCCCCAACCTTTTTGAGCCTGGGGGCACCTTTAGAATTCTGACACAGCACTGTGGGCACAGCCACAAAATGGCTGCCGCAATACTGCTCCGGGCTAGCCGCAAAAGGACGGCGGAAGACCGGAAGGCCTGGTGTGATCTGGTCCATGGGGTCGTGAAGAGTCGGACTCGACTGTGCGACTGAACAACAACAAAAATCTCACCTTTGGTCACACAGTGAAGATCCTTCTGTTGTGCTCGGTAGCGGCTGCCCAAGCAATGTTTTTTTAAAATCTGCAAACAGTCTCCGGTGGTCGTTTCAGAAGCCTTGCTGGGCACGACACTTGGTGGGCACCAGGAAAAGAGTCAGTGGATGCCATGGCACCTTGTCAGGGACCACTGCCCTATTATAAGAGCCTCTTGCAACAGGTGCAGCCTCCTTTGCATAAGGGGAAAGTACCAGGCTGCGATCACGCACCCTAATTGATCCACTTTCAATGCACTTTCCAACAGGGCTTGGCCAGTTCACACAGTAAAATCCAGTTGGAAAGTGCACTGAATTTGCATTGAAAGTGGATTATTTAGTGTGTGTGTGTTTGCAGCCCCCTTGTAAGTGGAATGGATCCACAGGAAGTAACCCAATGTCAGTTGTCTGCACTGTTCATGCTTCCCATTCAGGGCAGTGTATTGACTTATCAGAGAGTCAGATAGGAAGTCTGAACACCAGCTAACTACGGTTGGTTAGGCTCATGTGGTCTGTGATGAACAGCGCCACTCTTCCATCCAAACTGCTTTGAAGAGGCTGTGTAGTGAACCTCTAGATACCATTGACTGGGAAGAAGTAGGAGGGAATTGCTGGTATCTTTATTCCCTCCTTGGGGACTTCCCAGAAACATCTGGTTTACCTCGGGTGAAAATAGGATCCTGGGTTCAATGACTCTCTTATCTGACCCAGCAGGGCTTTTGTTCATGACTTGGCAACTGTGGCAAAGTAAATACAGTGTCCATGCCCTTCTATTCCATAATGTTACTTGTTCAGCTCACTTACCAAAGGGGAAGAAGTGCCCAGGGTACCACTGTAGAGCTGAGTAGTGAGAGCAGTGGAAGCGTATTGCACCTGTGGAATATACAAGCAGAACACAGTGGAGGCAAATGGACTCCTATGAGTGGCAGCATAGCTGTTACGCATCAGTTTTTGCAATGGACAAATATCAGATTACACAGACAAGGAAAACAGATAAAGCAATTGCACAGCGTGAAAGCGCCAAAGATTTAAGGTAGAATCAAATAGAAAAAACACAGGAAAATCAATCAGTCAAGGGGGGACTACACAGTTTAGGGGTAATAATAATGAATAATTGTTGTTTTATTGCTGCTGGAGTTGTAAATCTGAAAAACAGTTGGGTTTTTTTTAGTTTTGTTCCCTTTTGTTTAATTTTCAGTTTGTTCATTGCTGTAATAGTCTATTATCACCCTGCTGTGATATTTGTTTACTACTTATTAATATGTAAATTTTTATGGCTCTCTTGCAGAGGTGGCTAAGATTCTGCCTAATTCTTTTAAAAGGGACTTCAAGGACCCCTGGAGAAGACCTCACATGCTGATGAGGGAAAAAATGCCAAGGTAGGCACAGCTCACTCAAGAAATCAGGCAGCTAAAAGTTATTGGGTCTCCCTAGGCCTAGTCTGATACTCTAAACTTGCAGTCCCCCGCTTTCTTAAACCTGTTCTTATCTTTGGAATTTTTAAGGAGGGAGGTAGTGGCACCACCACAAAATGGCTGTCATGGGAGGTGGGACCAGTCACAAAATGCCGGGAAGCCCAAGCCAAGCATCCTCTTATCATGGGGTCAGCTGTTTCCAAATGAGTCCTCCCAAAAGACCCAAAGGATATGCCTCCTGGAGTACCTCCTCTTCCAGTAAGATGGAGAAAAGACAGGATTGGTTTTATCGTTGGCAGACTCCAGTTGGGGACTGGAGATTTCCCTGGAGATCAGTTCCTCTGAATAAAATGGCAGATTGAGAGGGCAGACTCTATGGAACAACATAGAGGCTAGGTGAAATCTGGATTCTCCTCAAATGCTCTGTCCAGACACCACCCACAAATCTCCAGAAATATTCCAGGCCAGAGTTCGTAGCCCTAAGTGGGGCCTAGTCCTGCTCACCAGAATAGAGGCAAGACCCAAGCCGCAACAGGTTTCTCAGTAGGGCTGCCCCCCTCCAGGTTGTGGCTGGAGATCTCTTAGGATTACAATTGACTTCCAGGCAACAGAGATCAGTTCACCTGGAGAAAATGGCCACTCTGGAAGGTAGAATTTATGGCATTACACCTCACTGAAGTCCCTCCCCAAAACCCTACTCACCTCAGACTCCACCCCCAAACAGGCTTGTTGTGGCCTGGCCACGCCTCTAATTTCTCTGGAACTATTTGTTGATCAATCAGAGTACTGATGTGTGGGCAGCTTCTTTTTTTTAAAAAAAAAGTCTACTTTGGGCATGTGCAGAACCACTTATTCGCCAGGGCAAATATGCAGTTATGCACATATCGCTAACTGTGGGGGAAAAAAGGTGGTCAGGGAGTGGAAGCCACAGACTGCGCAAACAACTTGAGCACACAATAGAGAGATCAGATGACCGGAAATGCACAGTCAGAACAATTTGATCTGTAAACACCGAACATTTTCCTGGTGTTGGAAGTCAGGGGTGAGGACGGGGTGGCCAAAAACTGGGGAACAGATGACACTGTCTGGATGCGCACATTAAATCTGCTAGGGAGAAGGGACAACACTGGATCAGACACCCCATCTGATCGCATCCCAAGTATATCCCAACTTGAAGCTGGCAACCCTAACAAGGGTTCTGGGGTTCCAGTCTAAAGTCAAAGTCCAGGATTCAGTAACACAGTCCAGAATCGCAGTCCAAGAGTAGCTCAAGGTCAGGTACAGCAAAGTTCCAAGAGCTTAAGCAAGGAAGGCTACTGGTAGGCTTATCAGCCGGGTTATAGAAAAATTGGTCTTACACTGGCTACAGCCTTATATAGGGAGTTTCTGTACAGGTGTTACTGGGTCCCCCATTACACTTCTCCTCACAAACTGAGTCAGCTCCCCTACCCATGAGGAGTACTGGGGCCCAGATCCTGTGGTAACTTACCTGCCTCTCCTAGCATTCTTTAGCGGAGGGAAGGCCTTGGGCCACCAGGTGCGCACTTCTGTGCCTGATCCATGTCTCAGCCCTAGCCCTCTGCCTCCTCTGCCCCTGGGGTACTTCAGGAGACTGGGGTGGGCCCAGTCTAGGGTTGCCAGCCCCCAGGTCCGGGCAGGGGTTCCCCCACTTCTGGGGGCTCCAATCTGCTGCCGGCCATCTGGATGGTGGGGGGAAGACCCGCCCCCAAGCTGTGGCCACCCGCAACCACCCCTCTCCCTCCCCTCCTGCAGATATTTAAAGGGCTTCAGCTGATCAGCAGGGAGCACGTGGTCATCCTCAGTATTCCTGTTCCCACCTTTTTCGTATTACCAGGGACTTATGAATTTCTCTGAACTCTTGACTGGCTCTTTCTGTTTCCTCTGCAGACAGGGGAGAGAGTTCAGAACAAGAAAGGGCTGCACTAGAAGCCTTGCCTGCCTTTTATCTTGAGATCCAAGTACTCCCCCTGCCCAGCTTTAGACAATTGTGGTGGGGAGGGGAATAGAATTTTAAATAGGATTCTTAGCAGACGATTCTGGTAGAAAGGAATCTCGGAGTGCAAGCAAAAGGGAGAGTACCCAAATGGGCACTGAGAATTTGGACCACCGCCATCCCCTTTTAAGGCTGGAAGAGAGCTGGAGCGGGGGGTGGGGCCAGGGACTCTATTAACGCGGCAGCTCGGAACAGCCAGTACACAGTTCATTGTTTGGCTGTAGTTTCGCGTCACGGTTTGGGACACATGTTTGGCACGACCAGTCACCTTTGCTCAAAGGAGCCGGCTCAGACACAGTTCCCATTCTTGTGCCACAAAAAGAGGTCCTTTCAGTTCAGCTTCCTCATCAAGGAGAAGAATGCAGGGCTCGGAGATAACCGCGAGAGATGCTTTTCGCTCTTCCAGATGATCCGTCGAGGTGCGCTCCTCTGAGTTTAGACTGTTTTCTCATAACGCCAGTCAGGATCAAACCAAACGAGATGCTGGAAACCCTTCAATTGGGTCTGTGGTGTAGTTTCCTTCATAAAGTTGCATACACGGGGTTCTCCTCCTCCATTTTACCATCAGAACAGCCCTGTGAAGTAGGCTGGGTGGAGAGAAAGCAGGAGAGGAGACTATCTCAAGGTCACACAGCGATATATTTTCCCGTACCCACCTGGAGGTTGGCAACCAGCAAAGGGTCTGCTGCCGACCCCTGGCTTTCCGCAACACAGCAAAAGCAGCCATTGTCTTTTGCTCTGTGTTGCAGTATCAGGATTGGTTTCCCCAAGCAGTGACTAGAACCCCGCCAAAGGATCATGCCAGCTAGGAGGGTGTCCCCATTTTCTGGCTTTCTCCTTTGTGCATAGAGGGGGGCCACTGCTGCTTCTAACAGCCACCATTGGTTGCTCCGTGAATGTCACCAGGATTTGATAGCCATTGCTTTCAAGGTCTGAATGAAGACCAATGGAAGGGAGGAGAACTGGGTGATGTCAGGTCGTGGGGACCAGCAAGAGAGGTCATCTTGCTCAGGTCCCCTCCTGCAAGACCTGGAGCCATCTTTGAACCATGAAGTCTGTGTTGGTCTGCAGAAGAACAATTAGATCCAGAGGTCATTTCGGGGGGGATGGTGGGGGATCGCAGTTCCCCCGGGTGAGGTACGGGGGGTGGGGCACATGGACGAAGCCCCGCCCCCTGCTTCCGGCCACCCCGCTTCCGGCCCTCATTCAGCCAGGAGGAGGCAGGAGAAGAGGGAGGGTAAGTTGCTTCCTCCCTGCCTCTCCCCACCCCTGCCTGCCTGGGGCCAAGGAGGGCCTTCGCGGGGCTTCCTTGCACTCCCGCCGGCCTTGCAGGTCCACCGCCGGGCCCCTCATGGGGCTCGGCAGTGGAGCTGCAAGGCCGGCGGCGGCCGAGACCGTTGGGGGCGGGGTTATGACACACTTCCGGTGATGTCAGGGGGTGTGGCATATGCTAATGAGCTATGCTAATGAGTCCCCCTAGCTCTTTTTCTACGAAATGACCCCTGATTAGATCCGAGTCCAGTTAGGCTTGCCAGGTCTTGCCGTTGTCTCCGCAGGGGGCTCCAGTCTGGCTCCTGGTGCCTTCTGGTGTGCAAGCTTAGCGCGTGCACCGCAGTGACATCACCTGGAAGTGGCGTCATCGTGCCGGGCACATCGTTCAGGGGGTGCTCTAACATTTGGCTAAAAAACCCAAACCCTCTATGGTCACCATAGAGTTTTTACCCAAATGCTAGTGCGTCCCCTGAACGATGTGCCCGGTGCAATGACGTCGCCTCCAGGTGATGTCATTGCACCAGGTACGTCGGGTACAACGGGGCTCTTTGGGGGTGGGGCTCCCCCCACCGGCCAGCTGGCTGGTGGCGGGGCCCCCAAAAGTGGGGAAAACCCCACCCCCATCAGGGGGATGGCAACCCTAACTCCAGTAGAGCCTTAGAGACCAACAGGATTTTCAGAGTATAAGCTTCTGAGAGTCATAGACCGATTCTGCAAAAGGAGTTGTTTTGCCCTCGGTCTCCCATTTCCTGCAGCTGTACTGCTCAATTTCCCACTATTTGCTGCATGGCCGCATTTTGACCCACATCTCCACCCCACCCCCACCCCCGATTTCCCCTGCGTCTTCTTGATCCTAAAAAACAAGGATCTGGAAGGGACTGAGAGGCCACACTGTCCGTTCTGCTGCTGTAGAACTGTCTTCTATTGACTTGCCCTGAGGCTACGTAATCCAGACCACAGCATGCTTCAGGCAGGGAAAGATAATTGGAAACAGAGCTAATGACCCCCTGGTGATCCAAGGAAGAGAACCACTCTGCACCCAGCAAGAAAAGCACCCTCCCCACTGTCCAAATGTTAGCTGTTAATTTGGCCTTAAGTGAAAATATATCCCTAAATACCATGATCCGTTGGGTGACCAAGAGAATGAGCAAAACCCATCCTCTGTGTTGTTCTAAGGGACTGGGGGCAACTACCTAGTTTCTGTACTGGCACAGACTGAGCCTTGGGTATCTGATGGAACCAAGACGTGTCCTCCATGCCTTGGTGTTCTTCCAGGGACTTGAGAGTAAGGAAAACAGTGAATGGAAGAGTCTGGGGGAAAGCTGCCAGCCGCTTTCTCTTGTGGCCCCATGCTGGAAGGCGACCTCTCCCTCCCTGCCAGTCGTCCTTCTGTGTGACTCCAGCTGCAAAGGAACACAGTGTTCCCCAAGCTCTTTTTTGGTTGCATTAACAAAGGTGGGCCTTGGGACGGATCCCAACATGAAGTCCCCCCCCCTTAATTGGAGAATACCCATAGAGGCTGTGGGCCAAACTGGAGGAAGTGCCAAGAGACCCACAGTCAGTCTCCAAATTAAAACAAACAAACTATGATATGCACCCCTGGGAAAGGGGGGAGGTGCTCGCAAACCCGATCCAAGTAGAAGTGGAGGGAAGGCGGTCTTTAACCCTTTCCTTTCAA